ATATATATATATATATATACATATATATATACATGTATGTATATATATATATATATATATATATATATATATATATATATATATATATATATATATATATATATATATATATATATATATGTATATACATATATATATATATATACATGTAAATATATATATATATATATATATATATATATATATATATATATATATATATATAGATATATAGATAGATAGATAGATAGATAGATAGATAGATAGATATTCACTCACTATTTGTATACATGTTTATTTATTTATTAATCTATTTTTTGCAAAATCCTCCCGCGACCCTGTAGGAACATTCTTTAGACCCGGAGTTGTCAACCTGTAATAACGAGAACAACCGACAGATTAAATTGTATAACTGCAAGAGGCATCGGGAGTGACGAAGAAAAAGTGAGGATGATCAGGCCTTGAATAATATAATAATAATAATAATAATAATAATAATAATAATAATAATAATAATAATAATAATAATAATAATAATAATAAGTGAGGCATAATCAGGCCTTGAATGAGAGCAGAGGCGAGGTGTGAGGTAGGACTAGGAGACGGAGGTGGAACTGCAGCAAGGATCGGCCCTGAACCCTTGTTTGTTTATACTGAGACACATGCCGTCGGTCGAAATGAGAAACATGTGCCTTTGGACAACATTGCATACGGGTGACTTTGAGATCTGTATTGAGGGTAAGAAACTTGATGAAAACAAGCCTGGAAAAGGTAGAAAAGGGGAATAAAAGTAGAAGGAGAAAGAGAGAGTACATGCATGTGGATGAGAGAGAAGGCGTGTTTAAAAAATGGACGAAAATAAACCCCCCTTTCAGAGTAATGTAGAGTGTAGTAGCGAGGTGAATGAGAAAGCACAGGCAGGGTGAATAAACGAAGGGAAGGATAAAGAAACTGTAATAGACGGGTATCTGAAAGAGTGAAGAGTTAAGTCTTACAAAACCATCCTATTTCTTTTGTCTCTCCGAGTCGGCGGAAGACTGGAGCTAAGAGATAGCGAAGAGAGATAGGAATATGTATGCGTATCTCAGAGGATAGAGTTATATCACACGATGGAGTATACCAGAGGGAGAGTTTGGGATGGAGCCGCCAGGTAGGAAAGGAAGAGGAAAGCCAAAGCAGTTGTTTATAGAAGTGATGAGAAAGAACATGTAAGTAACTGAAGGACAAAGGACGTAGCAAGGGCAGGGTGAGACGGCGAGCCCTGTGTCCCTCTAGTTCTTGAAATGCCTGATCGGAGTACCACTATTAGTGTTTATTCTCCGCATTTCAGCTGCTTTTCCACTGTAAATCAGGTTTCCAAGGCGACCTGTTATTTCTTCAGTATTGAGACAGTTAGATCAGACCTGCTTCTTTCGAGAAATGACATTGCACGCTGCCGCTTTCTTATCTTCTTGTCAAGAATTCCAAATAAAGTAAGCGCTGTCTTTAGATTTGTCCGTCTAGCTGTCTGTCTCTCTGTGTCCGTCTGTCTGTGTTATAATCATCATCATCATCTCCATGATGATGATCCTCATCACTAATATATCTTCATTATCATTATTATAATCAGTATCATTATAATTATCATCATTATTGTTGTAGTTGCTGTTATTATTATGATTATTGTTCTTATCATCATTATCATTATTGTTATTATTGTTATTATTATTGTTAATAATAATAATAATAATAATAGTAATAATAATAATGATAATAATAATGATAATAATAATAATAATAATAATAATAATAATAATAATGATAATAATAATAATAATGATAATGATAATAATAATAATGATTATCATTATTATTATTATTATGATTATTATTATTACTACCATTATTATTATTATCATTATTATCATTACTGTTCTTATCATCATTATCATTATTATTGTTATTGTTATCATTATTATTATCATCATCATTATTATTATCATTATCATTATTATTATTATTATTATTATTATTATTATTATTGTTAATAATAATAATAATAATAATAATAATAATAATAACATTATTATTATTATTATTATTGTTTATCTATTTGTCTTTATTTTTATTTTTATCTTTAACTTCATCTTCAACTTAATCTTCATCACCATCATCATCATCATCATTAATACCATTACTGTTATTATCATCTTCATTATTATCATCGCTATCATTATCATTATCACTACCATTGTTACTTTTTGTTTTCATCATCATTATCATTATCATAATTATCATTTTCATAATCATCATCGTGTAGCTACGTGTGTGTTTGCGCGAGTGTGTGTGTGTGTGTGTTTGTGTTAATTCAGACTTATCTTAATATGATAAGAGAGAATATAATTCGAAAATAAAACGTATTTCTCTGAAGGAATAGCCACTATGCTTAAAGAAAACATTTTCCTAATTCTCCTTCACATAAATACCAAAAATATATATTTTCTTTTTTTCGGCCGCGCACCTGTCTTGTGTTAATTGCTGACGTCACAGAAAAACAATGGAGTTCACACACCCGTCATCCTGCGTCACTTCTCGCATCTTGGCGGTGAAAATAACTCCGTTTCTCT